GGATTGCCTGAGCCCGCGGGTTTGAGACCCGCCTGGGCAACTTGGTGAGACCTCATCTCTACAATAAATCAAAAAATCAGCCGGGCGTGGTAGCGCATGCCTGTAATTCTGGCTACTCGGAAGGCTGAGGCGGAAGGATCGCCGGAGCCCAGCAGGTGAGGCTGCGGTGGTTGGGAGCGGCCACTGCACTCCAGTCTGGGCGACAGAGTGAGACTCCAACTCAAAAAAAAAAAAAGAAAGAAACATAGAGGGGAGTGTGAGTAAAGACCCTGACTGAAAGAAGCAGCAGAATCAGGGGACATGGAGAGCGTGTGTCAGTTGTGTGGGCTATCTCAGCATGGCACGCTTCGTGTCACCACTTATCACCAAGTGCTGTCATTTGCAGAATGACATCTCTGAGAAGGAGCAACGGTGGGGAGCCAAGACCATTGAGGGCTCTGGACGCACGGAGCACATCAAGTAGGTGCCAAAAGGACTGGGGAAAGGGATGGGGGTTATGGGTAGAGCCCAAAGAAAGCTTGGAGACTTGCGGGAAGGTAAGGAAGAAAGGGAGGGGGTAGTTCACATCTGTATGTTTTTGTGCTTGTTTTCTTCTAGAGTCTATTCTGCGTGTCCCTATGTGTGTTATTGTATTTGTATTTCATGTCTTTGTCCCATGAACTATTATCTACCTTTTATATCCAGGAACTGTGCTACTTTCCCAAGTGGATCTATTGTATTCATTGTCTTCCTTCCTTCAATAAGGCGTGAGGGACTCAGAGAGCAAGTGGCTCAAAACTGAGGTTCATTCTATCAATCCACCTCTATCTATCTATCATCTATTTATCTATCTATCTATCTATCTGGCAATCATTGATCTATCATCTGTCTGTATCTTCACATAAATATAAATGTGCATTTAAAATGTGGGTGATGTCAGCATGGGATTTCAGGTGATCAAGAACAAAAAAGAATATAGAGTGACTTCAGATAGGCTAAGAATTCAGTAAAATATCAAGACGAAGAAGTTATAATAAACGCTATCAAAACAAGACGATATCAGCTCCCATACCTCGTCCAAATAAACTTTTAAAATACAAATTTTTGGTTGGCTATTTGACAGAAGTTGGAAGCCATGAATGGTAGTATGAGTAAACATAATACCTGGAAAATCTGTTGATAAAAACTATTTTAGCAATGATGTTTATGGGTCTTTAAGATTATAGCCCAATATTTATTTTATCAGAAATTAACAAGCAGACAAAACAGCAACAACAACAACAAAACTTCTGTAACCAGAAGAGAAAAGAAACTTGCAGACGTATCCAGGAATTTCTGTGGAATATATGGTAAATTCAGATTGAGAGATCCCTTTATCTCTTCCATTGGTTATTCTGAATCATGTAACCAGGAGTATCTGCTTTGTATAGTACCAGGATGTCAACTATTAGTAGTAAGATAGACATGATAAATAGTATAACAAGAGCAAAAAAATCAACAACTGCACACATAATGGCACAATTAATGCAGTTTTAAACTCCATTTTAACTTTTTTCCCCACACTCTAGCCGTGATTTTACCTCTAGATTTTAAAAAGTGTCACTGGATAACCACATTGCACAAGCAACACACTATGAGAGTTTGGCTCATGTTTATACAATTGGATAATACTCTCTGCTATTCATTGTTGTTTAATCAGGCATAAATAGCTTGAATTAAGTAGTTATAATTAATATTATTCTTTCTTTTTTTTTTTTTTTTTTTTAGTCAGAATCTCACTCTGTCACCCAGGTTGGAGTGCAGTGGCTCATGGCCACCGCAGCCTCAACCTACTAGGTTCAGATGATCCTTCTGCCTCAGCCTTTCAGGTAGCCAGAACTATAGTCGTGTGCTACCATGCCCAGCTAATTTTTTTATTTATTGTAGAGACAAGGTCTCACCATGTTGCCCAGGCTGGTCTTGAACCCACAGGTCCAGGCAATCCTCTCACCTTGGCCTCCCCAAAGTGCTGGGATTATAGGTTTGAGCCAACACTCCCGGTCATGAATATTATTCTTTTTTTTAAAATTTCTATTTTATTTATTTATTTATTTATTTTTGAGTTAGAGTCTCACTCTGTCGCCCAGACTGGAGTGCAGTGACCGCTCCTGGCCACCGCAGCCTTGACCTGCTGGGCTCCGGCAATCCTTCTGCCTCAGCCTTCCAAGTAGCCGGAACTACAAGCATGTGCTACCACGCCCGGCTAATTTTTTGATTTATTGTAGAGATGAGGTCTCACCAAGTTTCCCAGCCGGGTCACGAATGAATATTATTCTTAAACAAACCATACAATTTCTAGAAGCAGTTAGAGAGACGAAAAATGGAACAGAGTCATTCAGGAAGCTTGTTTGATGTGTCTCTGTAGGCCCATAGATAAAAAAAAAATTGAGACCTTTTTCCTTTTCTGAGTAAAAGCCACTCAGCCCTAGTCCCCTGGAAACTGTTTAGATGAGGCTACCTACTCTCTTTGTACTTTCCCCTCCCAGTGCCTGTCTCATGTATAGGAGGTAAGAGTTGAACTTTTTTTTTTTTTGGAGTCAGGGTCTTACTCTGTCACCCAGGCTGGAGTTCAGTGGCACAGTCACAGTTTACCAAAGCCCTGGCCTCCTGAGCTCAGATGATCCTTCTGCCTCCGCCTTCTGAGTAGCTGAGACTACAGACACATGCTACCATATCTGGTTATTTATTTATTTTTTTGTAGAGATAAGGTCTTGCTATGTTGCCTAGGCTAGTCTCAAACTCCTGACCTCAAGCAATCCTCCCGCCTCAGCCTCCCAAAGTGCTGGGATTATAGGCGTGAGCCACTGTACCCAGCCATGGAGTTTTAAAGAAGACTCCTAAATTCCTGCTATGATCTTATGGAAAGAGCTTGAGTTTGGATATCAGATAGATTTAGATTTAATTTCCAACTGTGCCACTGTTGGCAGTGTAAACTTAGACAACCTCTGAATCTCAACTTGTTTATCAAATAAGAATAATAGTTACCCTACAGATATATGGTTAGAATTCAACGGGATAGCATCTGTCGATGTTTAGTACAGGACTTAGCATTTCTTAGCAGCCTATTATTTCTCTTTCCTGTTAATATAGATTTGTTTAATCAGCGTTCCTTTCTAAAAGCTAATAAACATGTAAACAAATGATGGCCTCCCTTCTTTCTAAGTGGTGTTTACCTGGACTGCTGTGTTTCACAACTCCACGATATAGATCACTCTGACTTGTACAATGCAGTAGCCCTGCATATTTCCGTGTTAACCTAACTCCATTTATATCTGATTGAATAAATGGTGGAGATATTTACACAAAAGCTCTCTCATCTCCCATTTACCCAGGCTACCAAGGTATAAAACCCTGGTCTATGATGGTAACAAGCCAGGTGACCCTGGACAAGTCACTTTTCCTCTGCTGATTCTCAATTTTCTCCCAACTGGAGCTAAAAGACTTCTAGAAGACCTTCCAGTAGTAAGTCTCCAATATCCAGGATGCTCTCTTGCTAAGGTGGGCTAAGCCAATCCTCAGGCTCATATAGGAATCACCAAGGTCCTAGAGAAGGAAAGAAAAGTTGGAAAGAATAGTAGCTGCAGAGCTGAGATGACTCAAAGCAGGAAAAGGAAGTGGTTGTAGATCTCACTAATCTTACTACCTTCCCCCACACCATGATGTCTTTTTATAGGTCTGTCTTGAATGCATTCAGTCTGGGGAGTGATTTGGTAATGCAGTGACTAGCTCAAATGATCACACCCATCCCTCATCAACTCTGTAAAGGAACTGCCTGGTTTCCAAGGGCTATTGTTCTTCCCACCACCTTCTTCTCCACTGTCACCCATCAATTCTCTGGTATCTTCTCCTTTAAGCAGTTAAGGATCCTTGTTATTCTAAGACATGGCCTCTTAAACTATGTGTAGGAAAATATCAGGATATTTTTTCTATTTTTTATTTTAAAATCTATCACAGACTAATATTTTTGTAAAATTAAATTTCTAAAAAAATAAATGGAGATAAATGATTGAAAAATACAAACAAGGCCAGAAGTGGTTGCTCATGCCTGCAATCCCAGCACTTTGGGAGGCTAAGGTGAGAGGATTGCCTGAGTCCAGGAGTTGGAGAACAGCGTGGGCAACATAGTGAGACCTCATCTCTACAAAAAAATAAAAATAAAAATATTAGCCAGTGTGGTGGTGCGTACCTGTAGTCCCAGCTACCCGGGAGGCTGAGGCGAGAGAATTGCCTGAGCCCAGGAGGTAGAGGTTGCAGTGAGTCATGATTGTGCCATAGAATTCCAGCCTGGGCAACAGAGCTCTTTGTCAAAAAGAAAAATACAAACACGATTTTATTTTTAGATTCAACAGATATAGAAGTCTCTGTGTCAAATTGCTATTAAAAGTTTCTAAACACATACACTCAAGTTTTATTCTTATTGTGGAACAGGTAATTTGGCTTTTTTTCATTCCTACCAGCAACGTATGGCTTTCAGTTCCACATCCCTGTCAACTCGCTATTGTTAGTATTTTGCATTTTTTTTTTTTTTTTTTTTTTG